GATTGTGCACTATGGTCCTACCTTTATCTGTTCCAAACAAAGATTTGTAGGGGGGAAAAGTCCATCACAATTTTCATTTAAGAAACTGTGGTCACTTTACCTTGAAGGAAAATATTGGGCTTTCATATGAGTTTTGTTAAAATTCTTTCTGATGAATTCTTTGACATGTGTTATATTAAAATTATTCTAGATGAGTTAAATATGATGTCAAATGGATGATAATTTCTTAAAGTTGAATTCAGTAACAACAAAACTATGAAGGTTTTTTGTTGACTTGAAGGTACTGCAACACACATACTGTGTGTTTCTATACATACATGTGGACTTCCATATATACATACACATATACACACATATAAACACATATATATATGAAATCCTTCAGTTGTAAGGTCATGGAGGACAAAACACAATTTTACCTTCTATATTATACATATTTTCTCTCCCAAAGTTGTACTTTTTTATGCCAGCTGTTTGGTAACCAAGTTGAACAAACACTCTCATTTTGTTTTTGTTTTTTATTTTGTTTTTTAGTTTATTATATGTTCTGAGAAGCAATGTGACATAGCAAATATTACATTGGCCTTGTGCCAAGGAGACCTGAGTTCAGTTTCTACCACTGATAACATACAGACTTTGTGACTATAAGTTATGGATCTGCATCAGAGAAAGCAGTTTCTATGTCACACTGATGAAATCAGGGGCCGAACTCCTCCTTTAAAAAAAAAATTGTGGTGATTCCCCATCATTAAACTTCTAAACTGAAGTAAGATGTCACCTCGGTGACATTTTCCTTTATCTCATTTTATGAGATTTTTTTCTCATTTCATCTTCCATTTTGTAGTTGAAGTAGTACTAAGAATTGCTTTGGTTCTTTATTGTAGTTTACATGTCTCCAGAAGTTATTTGCAATATTTGTTTAGTGGACCGAATCTTTTTTTTAATTAAACTAGAGCAAAGAGCTCCCCTAGAAGTATTACTTGGGTGTTTTATTGGTCCTTGAATGCTACGCCAATGGAACATAAGCTCTTGAACCTGACAAAGTTCCAAGCATTGCCCTAGTCAAAGAATTGGTACAAAAAACATCATCAAGGACATGTGTGATGGACGAAGGAGATCTACCACTCATGGAATGAGTAGGTAAAACACATGCACAGTCTAAGTATTACGTCTTAATCTATAGAATAGTAAAGAAGCCAGAGAATGGCCTTTAGCAAGGGTGATAGATAATCCATGAATGACTCATGGAAGAAGATAGACAATTGCATAGGATGAGAAAGCAGGGACAGGCTACAATTTGTACTATGGGTGAGGAGTACCTTCAATAATGAGATCAAAGATTCATTTAAATATCAGAATCAAGCAATCAACAAGCACTAATTAAGGGCCTTTTATATGCATGGAATGGTGCTGGGATCTAAGGATAAAAAGACAAAAATGAAATATCCCAAAATATGGATTAAGGGACAGACTGATTTGCCTACATCAGGAGTGGGGAACCTGTGACCTTGAGGACACGTGTGGCTCTCTAGGTCCTCAATGCAGCACTCTGACTGAATCCGAACTTCATAGAACAAATCCCATTAATAAAAGGATTTGTTCTGTAAAACTAGGACTCAGTCAAAAGGCTGCACCCGAGGACCTAGAGGGCCACAGATGCCCCATCAATGGCCTAGATTGATGTGTTATGATCATTGCTTATGTTTTCCTACTGTCCTTGCATAGCATAATTAAAATTTGTTTATCTTTTATATTGCAATACAGACCTCATAGTCTCTTAAAATTACTGACATTTAAGGAGCTGAGAAAAATTATGTCATTGTGTAGGTTTCATAAATTGTACAGTTCTTAAAAGTTATATTTCTTGGTCAAGTTGTAGGAATCTAAAAGTATTCCCTTCAATTATTGCTTTCAAATTTTTTGTTTTTGTTAATGTTTCATTAAGTGATATATGGAGAAGTCAAATAGGCTATCTTTTTAAAAATTAAAATATTTAAAATGTTTTACTTGAATTAATTTGTATGATTGGCTGGCTTCATTTCACATCCTAAATAATGAATAATGACTTAATTCCCTCCATCTCCTTTAGTTTTAATTATTTTTTCATTTCTTAGCATTACATTTTAATATAATGATCTTGTATTTGATTTTTCAGCAGGGAATGTAAATCATAAACTACTTTATGGTCATGAGAATTTTTGTTTAAAGGGGAGTCTTTATATTTTGAAAAATTAATGGCAATATGGTGTACTGAGCTGGAAAACTAAATTGTTAGGCAAACCAATTCAAACGATGTTTATTCAGTAGTGCCAGTTATTAGTAAGGCACTGTGTTGTTTCCAGTTCTGCATTCTCAGTAATGAGCACAGGTTCGTTACTGGGAATGCAGAATTGGAAACAACACAGTCCCTGCTCTCAAGAACTTTATAGCATTGTAGTGGAAACACACCATGTACAGAGATAAATATAGTACAAAGTTGAATGTGATGGGGGCAAGGAGGAGAGCTTGATAGTGATCTAAGAAAGATAAAGATGTTAAAAACACTATAAGGTGGAAGCAGAGTGGCATCTGAGTTTTATCTTAGTAAATCAATCAACCAATCAGCACTTAGTATGAGTCAGGCAACTTTGCTAAGGGTCTCTCTTCCTCAAAGGAAGAGAAGTATTTGAATGAGCAGTGAATGAAGAGAGATTGCACGCCAGGTATGGATGATTGCCTTACAAATGGGAAGAGAAGTCCCAGAGATTTTTCAACATGACATAGTCGGTCATGTGTTTCAGTAATGATGATGATAACAGTAGCATTTTTATAGGACTCTAAGGTTTGCAAAATATATTATTTCAACTACTGCGACATCATTGTGACAAGCAGGAGAGCAATGGATTGGGATTTTCTTGTTTGGATAACTAAGTTTCTGTGGGTAAAACATTTCACCTCTCTTGGCCTCACTAACTGTCTGCTAAATGAGTTTGGACCAAATGATCTCTTTACAGCTATAACATTTTATGATTGAATAGTCTACAGTTACATTCATAGCATGGAGTTAGGTGGGTGATTGTTGTTATGGCTGTTGACAATTTTTCCTGAATCTTTGCTGAATTAACAAAAGGGAATTATTTACAAAATGACCACTTTCCTTTTGTTTTGTTCTCCTGCCCTTTGAATTTGCACTTGCCACACTTACTATGGAGAAGGGAAGCCTAGAAATCATTTAGTCCAGTTTGACGTGTTACCCACTTGACTTAAATTGTAGTTGCTGTGCTAATTATTGTTTTCCATTAATTGAATAGTTGATACATATGCTTCAATGTCTTTATTTGCTTGTATGCTGAGTCAGAATGTGTAATGCCTCATGGCACGTATTTGAATACATGCATTTCAAATATTCATTTGTACAATATATGCAAGGGCTTCTATCTCTCCAGACTTGAGTACACAAGCACACATAACCGCCCTCCTTTTTTTTCCCCTTTGCAAATCGAAACAGGCTGGACAAGTTCATGTGATGCAAATGACGTCAGCCTCCATTCGGTCCCGTGATAGACAGACAACCTTCCCTACTCTACCCCACCCCTCCCCTCTGCCACAAAAAACAGACTGATCTCGCGAGAAACCTGCCCTCTCCGCGCCAGACCTTCCCGAGAGGACCGGGAGTTACCCGGGAAAAAGGGAAAGGTGCGGCTGAGCGCTGGGTTGCGCGTGAATTCTTTGTTCACACGTCTGCTTGAAGCCCGGAAGCTTGGATGCACGCTCAAATACAAAGCTTCGGTGTGGGAAGCAGCGGAGGCGGTGGAGACACAGTGTCTGCACCTGCACCTTTAAGAGTGGCCCAGGGAGCCTGGAGCCTGGCGTCCCCAGGGCTCGCAGAACGCGGGAGAACGACTTCCTGGCTGGGCGTGGGAGCGAGCCCCACGGGGCATCTCGGCTGCAGCGGCCACGGTCGCTTCTGCAGCCGAGGCGGCTTCTGAACCAACTGCCTCCTCGGGCTGGCTCCGAGCTGGAAAGCTGGGATGCAAACGCTCCCAACTGGATCCGCACCCAAGCACTAGTGCACGTAGATGAGCCCGTTCCCCCCCACCCCCGGGGAGATCCTGCGGGAAATTGGCCATGCTATAGTCAGACTCCGAATGCGCACGGGAAGAACGAGCGGAGCGGTGTGGGGGCTCAGATCACTTTGCGCCCCCGGGGAGCTCGGTTCAGGGGGACTGTGCAAGGCCTCCACAAGCGTCTGGCCGCGAAGGGTCGTTTTAAAGCCGTTGGCCAGTCTGTGCATTTATTCCCTTCTGGTTGGGCCAAGCGGTGCACACCCCTGCCTGGGGCTCCCTGGCCGCCCCTCCCAAGATTTTGAGCCCTGTTCCCTTCCTCCTCATCGTGTCTGTCTGGATTTGTCTTCTCGGACCTGTTTGCAGAGACCCTGTTCCTTAGTACCTCTCCTCCTCCTGCCCTCCCCAGACCACTTCAATTGTGTGTGTGACCCCGTCTTCTGTAATCTTTTTGCAGAGACTCTGCCTGGGTATACCCTCCTCCCCTGTGCGCGCGACACACACACACACACACACACACACACACACACACACAGAAACACATTGCGTGCTGAGAGGCTTGAGTCGCTAGAGGGAGGTGTGGGACAGAGAAAAGAGGGGGGGAAGTCCAAAGGGGGGGTGGCCCCGCAGTAGCTCGAGGAGGGGCTGGGGGACAGCAGAGACTCTGAGGCTTCTCCTGAGCTGAACTGTGCTCGCCCTGCCATTGCCCACCGCGGGTGCCCAGCGCGCTCGGAGCCGTACCTCGTCTCTTTATTCCCAGAGAGCTGCATAGGTGCCCCAGCTGCCCGGCGGCTATCACTGGCGGGGCGGGGAAGGGGAGGAGAAGCCGGGCAGAAGAGCCGAGCTTCTCATTGCTCGGGCGCTCCTTCGCGCACACCCACCCACCCACTGGAGTGGAGAGACTGAGGCTGCTGACAGCTGCAACTGGACTGGAGTTCTCTCCTTCAGGCTTCTCTTCCTTCCCCTGCCCCCTCCCCACTCCACTCCACCCCCTCTCCACCCTTGCACTCCCTCCCCTCCGCCTTTATTCCCTCCTGTCCCCAGTTCATATCGTTTCGCAACTGCTCGTCTCCTGCCCCGTGGCTGGCTGAGTTTTTTCTCTCTCCACCCCCCCCCATTCCTGGCACCTCTTCTATAATACTTTCCCCCCCTCCTCCAATTGGGGAGTGAGGGTGGGAGAGAGGGAGGGTGGAGCGTCCAGAGCCGGAGAAGAAAAAGAAGGAAGAGGGAGCAGAAGGATTGTACGATTGTGGAGAGGGCACCCCACTGCACCCTTTCTTTCCCATTACACCCTTCCTACCTTCCCTCCCCCTCCCCCCCAAGTCCCGATCCAGCCACTTTCGGACAAGAAAAGTGAAGGAAGACGGCTCGGGGGTGATAGCGACACGGGGGCCAGTCCCAGACAAGCAGCAGCTCCTCCTGTCCCGTCTCATCCTCCTTCCTCCTCGACAGGAGCCAGCCCGAACCTATGATGGCTTCAACTACAACCTGCACCAGGTTCACCGACGAGTATCAGCTTTTCGAGGAGCTTGGAAAGTAAGCGTCCTTGCCTGGCATCTGCGGGTCCCCTTTCCTGCAGAGGGCGAGTCGCGTTACCCCCGACCCAGCGGTCCTTACCGTTAGGGGGTCGTAGGAGTTTAGAAAGGGGGAGGGGGATCGGGGGGAAGTGGCTGGCTTGACAGCTGGGCAAAAGGTACTGATCCTTAGGAAGAGGGCGGGGGAGTAGAAAGGGAAGACCACCAGGCTGTGGCCAAGTCTGATAATCCCACCCACCCTCCTTCCCCACTCCCATTTGTGCAAGAGAGCCTTAGTGGATTTATGATCCTTGCAGTTATAGCTGTCATCCTTTGGAGTGTGTATATGCTTGTGAAAGGCAGGAAATGAGAACCCATGTAAAATGTAACATAGATCATGTTTTCTGTAAATAGAGATGCCTCCAGGGTTTACCGGCGTGTCTGCTCAGTGATACACGTACGGATGAAAACCTCACTGACACAGACGGTGCCATATTTATTGATGCCGAAAGTTCAAGTTGGCTTTCAGTCTATTTTGCATCCAGTAGTTCTGTCAAAGGAAACAGCAGCCCAGTGTAACATACATACCTATATACTAATCCCTTACACCTTTCAGCTATTTTAGGGGAAAAAACTTTCTGGGATTGATTAATGTCACACCATTCTTCCAGGATATAGACAGTCTCTCCTAGGAGGATTTATGTGCATGGAGGAAAAACGCTCTGGAAAGGGGAGATTCCTGTTTTGTGTGTATGCGTGTGTTAAGGATTATATATAGATACACACATACATACAGTGACAAAAATACTTGACAATTTTAAGGAAGAGGGAGAAAGATCTAAATGAGGGAACTCATTATAAAGAAATCTAACCTCAGGCTCAGCCACAGTGTTACAGCATCACCCCCAATTAAAATCTATTCTCATTCATATCTACAGCTTGGTCTATTTCTTGGAGAAGGGGTGTGCGCATATATGCTTGTTGGTGGCTGATAAAGGCAAATAAAAGGAAATGTAAATTTCATTGTATAAGTGTATTTATTCAGTATGATACTCTTACACTGAGTGGTGCTGCATATATATGTGTGTGTGTGTATATATATATACACACACACACATACATACGTACATACATACATACATATACATACCAAGAATATGTCAAAAGAGATAGTTTAATTAAAAACCTTTTTTTAAAACCAATGCATAAAGAAATCATCATGCCAAGATTCATTAACCCACACAAATATGCTCAATATTTATATTTCACTGAGAACAATTATCATATTTATAGAGTTAGAGATACACTCATTATTTTTTCCCTACCAAAATAAATGGGCAGCAGATTTTGGCTCCCTCTTATTCCAGCTCTGTGCAGTGTTTTCTCTGGGCATTTGGTGCTACTGTGTGAGCGGATATTGTAGAATGTGTTCAAATTCCTTGTGCAAACAAGATCCGTTACAATTGGCAGCCCTTTTATTTTGTTGTCTAATGATATGGTGTTCTCCCTGTTAAATTCTAATCACTATTATATTCTGGAAAATTAAGAAAGGGCTAGGATTGGTTGTTTTGGGGGCTGCTTCTATTGATATTTGGAAAGCCACTAAAATCACTGAAAGCACTCAAATTATTAGATCCCATTTGTTGAGTATCAGAGCCTGGTTGTATTGATACCTTGCTGATTATTGGTTTTCAGGGGGGCATTCTCAGTGGTGAGAAGATGCATGAAAATCCCTACAGGACAAGAATATGCTGCCAAAATTATCAACACCAAAAAGCTTTCTGCTAGGGGTGGGTATTTTCAATCAATTTTTTGAGTGTCTTTTTTTTATTGCTTTAAATGATCAGTTTTGTATGTAAACATGTGCTGTGGTTACAGTGGAATTAGATTCTAAAGGTTTAATATATTTATAAGCATTTCCTCTCCCTAAAGAAGTATTGATTTATTTATTTTTTAAATAATTGGACAAATTAATCCACTTAAAGTTGACATGTTTAATACCATAGTGAGTTCAAATTCTTGTGGTTGGTGTCATCCCATATTCAATAGCATGAGTAATAGAGCTATTCTAAAGTAAATAAATGCCACTATGAGGATTTTGCCTTTAGCTGCAGTGTAAAACAACTTTAAATACAGCCCAGGGATTAAAAAAAAAGTCACATGATTCTCATGGTTCCTTTTGCTTTTGAGGAGAAAAAAATAGGCCATAGCTTAGTTGAATCATGATCTTTTATTGTAATTAGACTTAAACTTAATTCAACAAGGCATGTTTAATACCCATGACCTTGAGAAGAAAAGATGTGACACATGCCTTGGTCTAAAACAAAATGTATGGCTATAAGGATCTAGGTAGAATTTTGATGTTTTTTTATGTTCACTAAAGGACTTTATTTTTTTCTTAGACATGAAGACTTCTTATAGAATCTTAGTATGTGCTATCCATGAGGTTTGTATCTGAATAGATATTTTATAGACATAATCAGACATAACTGGAAATTGTTTATTATTGAGGGACTAATAGGCCTCATGACAATCTTGTTTAGCACAGGCATGCTAGACATTTGTAGTGAAATGTTAGGCATTGCCAATTATGGTACATGTTTCTAAAATATTTTTGTGGAAACTTATGTTCCGTTGATGAGCATGAAAATGAATGAACAGCTTCAAGGGAGTAAAACCATCTTTGTGGACTGGGCAATTTTTGAAAGTGGGAATGAAAATAACATCTCTTGAAGGCAGAGTTTACTCATTTTGCCTTGAGTTTGAGAATGTTGCTACTACTTAACAGTTAGTTCACCTTCATGTGACTGGCTATCAGCTCATCTGTGATTGGAGGCCTTTTCTTCTCTACTTTGGTGTGAAATTCTGCATTTAAAATTTGCTTACTGCTTAAGAAGTTGGCACTTGGGATCATTTTAAAGGGGTTTTCCCCCCTCATCACTCCACCCGGCGCACCTCAGCTAACTGTGATTCTGAGGAACACCCACACGCAGAAGCCCTTGACACATTAGAGATCCGTTACAAGATGCACAGGAAGGTGTGAGGCAGGAATAAATAGAAGGTGAAGTATGTTCAGATATACTTTTTTTTTCCCCAAATAGTTTTAAGACTAATGAAAAATGGTTGACAAATCTGTTAGATTTTCAAAAAGTCATAGGAATGATTTACTCTGAAGCTCTAAAGTTTCACCCCTTTCACCCTTTTAAAGGAGACACTTAGGGACACTCTTAAGTCTGTCTAGACAGGAACAGTATGTAAAGCACAATATTTTAACAGAAAGTCCTTTAATGACTTCAAGTCTCTTTATAAATTGAGTCAGAATTATTGATTATGGGCATTAGGAGTAAGTTACCTAGCTTTAGTAATTTCTCCCTGGACCCATAGTAGCCTACTCCAGAGTTTGGGGGCATATCATCCTTCCTATACACTTTTTTCCTACTGCTTATAAGCCACGGATCATGTGATTCCCTCATAGAATGTATTCCTTCCTCTCTGTCAAGGCAAATTCTTCCCCTTAAAGCCTTGCCTCCTCCAGTCTGCTAACCTTATTGAGACCTAGTCATTCTAATCAGTTACTCTTAGTAAAAACAAACAGACAAACAAACAACAAAAAAAAGAGACAAAATTGAAACAGGATTCAGAAGCCCTTAATTCTAGTTTTGGACTCAGTTTACCAACTGTATAATTTTGGGCAAGTCATTTGTAAAAACTGATAGAACATCTACTGTTCCTGCTTCACAAGAGAATTACATGAGATTACGTCCACACACACACACACACACACACACACACATATATGTGTGTATAGATATATGAAAAGTTTTAACTGCTATGCATTTAAAGTGTTATCATCATTATTATTATCATCATTGTCATTATTATGGTTATTAGAAGCAGAGCACCTTAGAGGTAATCTATTCCAACTGCTTAATTTTACAAATTTGAAGAAATTGAGATCTCAGATAAGAAGACTTACCAAATTACTTCCACCTCCTTAAAATATTTTATTCTTATCTCTGTGCCTACAGCTTTTGGTTATACCATGTTTGTTCATATACTAATCAATATATTTATTCAGTCTTTATGTTAAATAGTAAGCCCCATACTGGGAAGGCTTATGTTCTTTGTATCCTTCAGAACTTTCCACAGGCTTTAAATGATGTTGACTGTGACTAAATGTGGTTCATTAAATGGTTCTTGGAAATGACTATTGAATATCCAAGGGTGTGTAAATTTACTTGAAAGGAGGGACTTGAGACAGGTGAGAGAATCAATCTCAAAGAAGACTATATAATGTGCTTTTAAAAATCTTGTTTGTCTTTGAAAAAGAGTTTCCAGCTTTCTGATAGGATACAGATAGATCTAAAGATGTGTTTCTGTTTTAAATTTTGTTTTTGAAATTTATTAATTAGCTAAAGGGAGCAGTAGTGGAAAAAACTGAATTTGGAGTCAAGGATATTGAGTTCCAGTTCTGCCTCACATGCTTTGCCTATGTAATCCTGTTAAAACACCTAAATTTTTTAAGCCTCTTTTTCTTCATTTATTAAATTAGTAGTTTGAACTAGGTAGCCTCTAAAATCCCTTTTTGCTTTAAATCAGTGATCTATGATCCCATGATTTGTTGTCTTAAAGGAAAAAAAAGGTCCTTTGTAAATGATGTTATCTTTGCAGATCTGTGATACTTTGATTGGCTCATCTTTTTTTTTTTCTCTCAAGCTTTTGTCTCATGTGTTATTTGAAATATTTTGCTTTTGTGAACCTAAGCCTTAGGTTTCTTTATTTTTAAGATTAGAGGAGGACTGCAAAATACACCACTGCAACTGAAAAGGAAGATTTTTTAGTGTCAGTAAATTGAGCCAACAGGACAGAAAGGGGAGGAGGGGGAGAAAGCTGGCAAAGTTCCTGTACACTTTTGCAAATGCAGCTGTACTGTCACCCAGGCAGGATTCTCTGCACCTAGTTTTTAGCGGGACTGTTCAAAGATTTCTAGCAGGCCGTTACTTCCTCTCAGCTCTTAGTCATACACACCATATATGGAGACTGTTAGGGTATCAAAGACATTCTTTTGCTATTGTGTTAAAATGCACATTGGTAATACACTGATTATACAGCAAGGAACAGGTAGATAACTGTACTTATATTTAAGTTGACTGTTTTGAAATAAAAAAAAAAGTACTTAGACCTTTCCCATCACAAATATACAGAATATTATAAAATATAGTACATCTGCCTTCAAAAGGTTGTTTTTTATTTTATATAACTAATGTTTAGTAATTGAGTGATAATAGAATTTTAGTTCATGTAAACAGATATGTTAAGCAGGAACCATATCATTTTAATATAGAAATTAAGCTAATGCTAGTTGACATTTGCAAAAGGCTTCATAAATATCTTTTATAAACATTAGCTCATTTGATCCTTAAATTAACTTGTAGAGTTAGATACATTGGGTACTCTTATCCCCATTTTACAGATTAAGAAACTATTTCTTAGACACTTGGTAACTTGCTCATGGGCATATGTAAATACCAGTGGGTAGGGATTCAAGCTTAGTTCTTTCTAGACTCTATGTCCAATGCACTTTCCGTTATACCATGTTCTCTTTTATTTCAGGTTGCCAGGATTATCATTATAAGTTATAAATAATGTTGTTCTATATAAAGCTTGGGGGGGACCCTCGAAAATCAAGCACACAGTGTAAGATTTATATAACACCAATCCGTTACATTTATATTCATCCTATACCCATGCTAGGGTATTAAAGTTGTCTGTTTATGTTCTCAAAAATGATACACACAAATTTCCTTAGAAGAAAGCTATTAACATTATTTTGCATTATAGAAACTTATATATTTACGATTACTTGAAACAAAGAATTGCTTTGCAATTCTTAAACATATTCTGTAGAGATGGTAAATATGTTCCTTCTAATTATAGTTGACATGTATATATACAGAGAGATATAACCTATGTATTTAAAAGCTCAGAGCTTCTTATTTTTCTTAATGCTCTTTTCCCAGGTACATTAGTAACCCTGTTAGGGACAACAAAACTAATCTTGCTGGGATTTTCTTGCTAGCTAATTACTCAGAAGCATTGCTGTAACTTCCCTTACCTTTTTATTTGACTTGAAGTAATAATGATAGAATTGAGTGTTTATGTAAGTGAATCAAGTGTTTTACTAATACATTTTTAAGAATCAGCCAATTTAGATTTTTTTTTTTTGGCAAGGCAGTTGGGGTTAAGTGACTTGCCCAGGGTCACGCAGCTTGTAAGTGTCAAGTATCTAGTCTGAGATCACATTTGAACTCTGGTCTTCCCAACTCCAGGACCAGCGCTCTGTCCACTGCGCCACCTTGCTGCCCCTATATTTTTGTTAAATTTTTGGTCCTAATTTTTTGAAAGCTTTCTATGCTTTCAGAGAATTTCTCAGTAGTTTTAATTGACATGTGAGGATTTTCCAGCTCTTCACCTTTTTTCTCCAGGATTTGAGGGGAAGGGAAAGAGTGAGAATGAGGTAATGAGGTAATGATATCCTGGTAGTTTTTTGCATTTTGCCCACATTTGACCACATGTAAATTATTATGTCCATCCTGATATTAGACGGGATTACTTCTCTCATGTTGAGTTTTTTTCACTTCAATTTCTTTAAAATAGTGCTTATTATGAAAATAAGTTTTGAATAAATGTATTGATAATGTTGAAAACTAGTAAAGAGTTGAAACAGTGACAGCATTTAATGATCGGATTATTGTAAGTAAATGCATAGAATTTTTGTTTATTATTGAATAAAGTAGAATGTAATATTAAATGAAGAATGTGAATATCAGTTACTTCAGTAAGAAATTAGTGACAAGGCACAAGAATGACAATGTCAGAATCTGACATCGTGACATACCTGTTGTCTTTGCATAGTGCTTTTCAACTGAAATATTGATTTAGCTTTTTTGTTTGAAAAGTATAATTTAATAATGACCATTTATGAGTCCTTTTAATGTTAATGAGAATAAATTATCACTAAGCACTTATTAGAATTTTTAAATTTTTTTCATTTGTTAGGAACCTTTTCCTATTTCGTTTCAGAATCTTCATGATATCTACAAAGCTAAAGTCTCCAAGCACATACATTTTCTAATTCGGTTTATATTATAGATTCTGGCTGGGACTTTGTCTTATACATTGTGCCTGTCTAGGCACATTTCACGTAGTGGATACTATGTGAACATTTGACCAATTGGCTAAAAACACCAAAAGTCAGGCATCGTGGAAGCTACATTAATTTTCTCAGGCTTGTTGGATACCATTTAGGAAGTTGTACTCCAGTGAATAAAACTGGTGTTAGCCCAGATATAATGTGGGACTTTTGATTCTGAGGCAGGCTAAAGTAGCTAAATAATGAAAGGGATAGTTAGTAAGATTTGAATTGAAATCCAGACTCAGATACTTAGTAGCCACGTGACTCTGGGCAAGTCATTTAACCTCTTTTTGCCTCACTTTCCTAAGCTGTAAAATGGGGACAATAGCATCTTCCTTTCAGGGTTGTTGTGAGGCTCAAATGAGATGCTATTTGCAAAGTGCTTAGCCCAGTGCCTAGCACACAGTAGAAGCTATATAAATGCTTGTTCCCTTCTGTTTTTTCTTCCAAACTCAAGAACAACATTAATAGCCACAAAATCAGACAACTTTGAAATGTTTTTCAAAATTGAAACTGTTTCAGTCTGCCCTTTAGTTTAAGAGAAAGGATATAATTGTGCAACAATATGATCTGAACAAAATTTGCTCCCTGTGTCTAAAAATGGGTGATACATTATATCAACAGATCTCAATTTATTGAAGTAGAGAAATAATTTCTACAAAGATTCCTCAACGAGTTGATCAGCACCAGCCTGATACTAGAAACAATAACAATAACAGATGGGCAGAATCTTACAATGGAAGGAAGGTCACTACTACTTCATAACCCAAAAGACACCAAAAGATCCTTAAGGACTATCATAAAGACCTCAAATTACAAATACGAACCCCTCCCCTCTAGAATTCAACAAACTATAATAGAATTGCAATGTCATTATCCCAGCCAAAAATTGTTACTCACTACTTAAGAAAATATGTCACTTTTCTGAATCCTCATAACCTGCAATCTACTTGAAACAAATAGCTTTCAAAATATAGAGGCAAATGAAGAAATCCGTATGCTGTCTACTACTGGCTCTTTCTCCAAGATACTCTTGGTGAACCCACAGATGACTTTATATCCTAGTACTTCTGTTCAGTTACCAAATAAAATTTAAAAAATCATTTTGTCCACCTGAGCAATTTCTGGTGAGCATAAAATACAAAAAGAACAATGATAAGACCTATCTCAAGACTATTTCTATTTGAATTCTGTCAGAGCTAACGTAGAATGGGGACAATAACAATGATAGATAGTGGGGTAGCCTTTACTGCTACGTAGCCTTCATAAGCTTTCTGGAATTTTAAGTGAGAAGGGGGTCATTATCATAGCTTTCAAAATATTCTTTTTTTCTAGCCTTGTGGGCTCAAGGATTATGGGGAAATGAAAGGTTGTACTATAACAATAATTTTCCTTTTGTATTGGTTGATAAAGCTCTGTGTTGTATTTGAACAAATAAGTGCTTAGTTGTAGAATATACCTCTGTTGTGTGAACTGAAAATGGATACGCAACTCTTATGAGTAAACGGAAGGTGTAAGAATATGCCTAATTCTCCAAGAGTCAGCTAGTTTTACTTGGTGAGTTTCCATTAAGAGAATCACATAGTGCAGGAAGGATAGGCAGTTTGTGGACAGATAGATCTTTCCAACTGGTCTGTGAGGACGACTCACCAAATCACATAATCACTCCTTGATTGTTCTTCTGCCCCGTGGCCAGAAATTTTTCATTGTAGCCTTTCTTTTCAAGAGGATTGCCAGGAGGAGCTGTGCCTCTTATTTCTACCAGTACCTCCTCTATCCACTCACTTGCATACCACTCTCTACCCAAACTACAGCTTAAGAAACAGGAACATGGTAGTGACAGACACTTGATTTTTCAGAATCCAGCCAATAATTTACCATTAAAATGACACCGATTTGAAATATACAGTGTATCCTCCTAAGGCTAGAACATGTTGAGCTTCTTAACCGTAAGACTTTGGGGACACTCTCTATAGTTTCTTTATTTTTCAAGGCTGTCTAGCTTATGTATGAATTTAATCTAGAATGATTTTTATAGTAGTTCTTCAAAGTAATTATAAAAACATCATGCTCCTTATAATTAAATTAGAAATGTATTTTTTTATAGTTTAGGGTATTTTTTCTTCCAAAATGATTTAAAATAGTTTAGGTACTGATGACTTAGTAAAACAATACTATATTTACCTGCATTTAAAGTGAATATGTATGGAATATTTTAAACATAGAGGTTTGGCTTTTCTTTGCATTTTAAATAAAAGTTTTTGAAAGATGTCTGAAAATTTTATTTAATATGTTTGCATGTGAAAATATTACAGGAAGTGATAGATGGCAGAGGCTGAACAAATGAAAATAGAGCATTGGGATATTAATTTTTAAATTTATAAAACAGCTATGTGAAATTTAGAAATCTATTCATATGTTTTGATGGAAAGAATTTTGGCCTTGAAGTTCATGGAGTCTGCCAATTAGTAGCTCTGTGACCTTGGGCAAGTCACTTGCCCTGTCTAAGCCTCAATTTTATCTTTGTCCAATGGGAATAATAACCTTTACGCCACCTACTTCACAGGGTTGTTGTAAGGAAAGTTTTTTATAACCTTTATAACCAATGTGAGTTATAATAATTTTTATTATGAATGAAATGAATATCCAGATGTGTGTTTGTTGTGATGGAAATTAAGGTAAACTGAGGCACAAATCTCTGAGCACAATCAATTTATTAGGAAACAGTGAATTTGCCAGCAAAGAATCTTAACCTCTTCAGCTAGCTAAGAACCTGAATGAAGGCTGACAAATAATTTTTATGGACAAAAGGAGGAGCATCCAAAAACTGTAAGGTAGCATCATAGATGGAGAAAACAACACAAGTGGTTACAAAGTCAGCAGCATCGTATATGTGAGGCACGAGGTGATTGACTGTAAATTTGGCATGCAGGGCCTCTCTTTCCATCTTGTCACTATGGAAAGCTCATTGCTGGCGTCTACTTGTGGCTAGTTAGTGTCACAGTGATAACAGACCAGGCTTGCTTGAAGGACAGCCAGTGGTGCAGAGATAACAGACCAGATTCCTTGGCATCCACCTACATCCTTTAAGGAGAACAGATTTCCTTGACATAAGAATAGAACAGTGATTAGCAGGAAAGCTGAATTTCCAAATTTAACTCAGAGACAAATGAAATATGACTTAGGTAATATACAAAATGTCTCTAGTGATGCAAAACCAAATAAATTATAGAATAGAATCAATTTGATTTTTTAAATTTTTAAGTCTTAGTTCTGATACTTATAAGCTCTGTGGCCTTGGATAAGTCATTTCATCTTTTCTGTGCCTCAGTTTTCTCATTGTAAAAATAGGAACGATAATGTTTACGTGACTCAAAATTTAATTGCCTTGCTTATGGAGTGCTTCATAACATAAAATTGGGGGGGGAGGCAACCCACTTTTATAATCTGTGTGCCATTCAGCACCACTGCATGACCACATCATGGTTCTTTGATGTCACACCCCCATGTTCTTTAACTGAACACTCTATAGGCATCAGTGAACACGTCTATCATTTTTCAACTAGGTAACCTTCCTTAGATATTCTAAGAAGTGTCAAACTTTCCACCAACAAATCTCCCAGGTGCAGCAAACCAAACTGAAATATAATTTGTAAAGTGTTAAAATAAATACAAGTACAACACAATGTCATGTTAATTTCTAGTTGTTGTTGTTTTTTCACTCGTTATACAGCAAGGATATGTTTCCATTTGAGTTTGATACCACTGAAGGATCCATAATTTCATTGCTCATGACCCCTCCCACCTTCCCACATGTAGCTCACAACCCATCTGTATTTTCTTATCTGTTCAGCTTTTGGTCATGTTCAGGGGATGCTGGAGGCAGGTACTTCAAGAGCCAATTGTTAAATTCCCAGTATGAGTATTTATCCTGTGGAAAGTGGCAAATGCTACAAATCAGGGCTTGGGTTATTATTTTGCTGATGGTCTAGACTTAAGAAAATGATGAAGAAAAATGTCAACCTTTCCACGTATGTTGTTGACATTCAGAGAGTTTGTTACTAAACATTTAGCAGCACGCTCCTGCCAATATACTTCCATAAATCCTCAGGAGAGGAACTACATCATGTATTCATAGCCTTCCCCTAGTTTTTTCGGATATGAAATCTTTAGTGGCCATTAAGTCTCAGTTGAAGGACTGCCTTCTTTAGGACACTTTTCCTGATTTCCTCTGGTTGTCAGCATTTCATCTTCTGAATAACTTTTTTTAAAATTTTGTCTTGTATTTACTTATCTGTGAACACACTATATGCCCGGTAGAATATTAACTCCTTACAGGTAAAGTTAGGTACTACCTCAAGTTGGTCCTGTCTTTCTTCCTCTCTCTTTCTCCCTCTCTTTTCCTCTCTTTCTTCTCCTTGTCTCTCTCTGTATATGCATACATGTACATATGTGTACATAGCGCATGCACATATCACACACATGTATTATGCATATCTGTAAATAGAAACATATATGTGCATAGACATCCACATATATGTATATATTTGTATACATATATGTACATATATGTGCAAATATATTTAGATATATAGAAATATCCTAAGCACCTAGCATAAAGCCTTGCTGATTGGCTGATTTTTGTGGCAACACTTGAACTGTGTATCTCTTATGTCTACTTCCTGCTGAATGACTGTCCTACCTCTTTTTCTTATCTTACAAGTTTTAGGATACTCAAGATGACTTGGCTTGATCATAGATATTGAGCTGAAAGAGACCTCCGAGTCAAACCACTGTTTTAGACCTGACAATCTCAGAACCAGGGATGTATATTTGCAAAGTGCTTTATATGTTACATGAGTTTATCTCCAAAACAACCTTTGGAAATAAGTGCTATGATTATCCCCCTTGTACAGCAAGGAAACTGAAGCAGCCAAGGTTAAGTGACTTGCCCCGGGTCGTTCAGATAGTAGATGTCTAAGTTTGGACTCTATTTCCTGAGTCCAGGACAAGCACTCTATCTATTGGATCACATAATAGACTATAGTAGATTATGACTTGCCCAAGGTCATACATGTAGTAAGCATAAATTCTAAGATCTTTGGTTAAATTTTCATATTACATTTTGTTCATCTTAAAACATAGGACATTTTTAAAAAAATGTATTTTATGTAGTCTATTATATTCTCTTGGATGTATTTACCATGTAGCTTTTATCTGTTTTATAAAGTGATGTACAAAGTAGGTTAAATACGTAGAGATGCCCGAGATCTTCTTTCCAAATATGGGAGCACGAACAAATCCGGAAATTCTACAAATAAAGGCTTGGAAAGCTGCCTGTGGTATTTGCTCCTGAGGTCCTTCAAACAGATACCTGGGAAATCTACTTTACTTGGCTCTTTTTCAAGAGAAGTCTTTGTGGTGCTCTGTCATTCATTGTGATATGTTCTTCGTAGAAGAGGGGCTTGTATTGTTTTGTAGCGTTGCTCTGTTAATAAGGCTTTATTTTTACAAACTACATTTAGTTATTTTGATAAAAGCCAGTAGCCATCCTTCTTAATGCTAAGTAGAGAGTAAATCCTTGGTAATGGCTGTAGGAAAAATGGAAAAGTAGACTTTAAATGAGAGTTTTTGGCAGCTTATGGAAAATTTAGCTATATTAAATCATATTATTTAAATAAAATGATTATCCTTTCTTTAGAGTGTATATGTGTGTCTATACATACATGCACATATACAAATATTTTATTTTAATCTTGAGGAGATCTGAGAATTTTATTCTGTGCTTTACTGGCAGTTCAAGTTATGAAAAAAGTTCTAAAATTGCATGATTTTTTCACATTTCAGGTATTTTAGTTTGCATCAAGATATTTACATATGGTAAAGGAGCAACATCATAGCATATGACAACCCACTTTTATATATTACCTTAATATTTGTAAAACTAGATGTCGTTCATTTGTTTGGTTGTATCTGACTCTTTGTTTCGTCATGGACCATAGCATGCCAGGCCCTTCTATCCTTCATTATCTGCTGAGCTCTGTCCAAACTCACGGTCATTGCTTCTATCACATCCTCTGCCACCCCATTTTCCATTTTTCTTCAATCTTTTCCAACATCAGGGTCTTTTTCAGTGAGTCTGCTCTTATTATATGTCCAAAGTATTTAAACTTCAGTACTTGTCCTTCTAATGAGTGTTATTTGTTTTTTCAGTTGTGTCTGACTCTTTGTGACTCTATTTTGTGTGTGTGTGTGTGTGTGTGTGTGTGTGTGTGTGTGTGTTTGGTGAGGTTAAGTGACTTGCCCAGAGTCACACAGCTAGTGAGTGTTATGTGTCTGAGGCTGGATTTGAACTCAGGTCCTCTTGACTTCAGGGCCAGTGCTCTATCCACTGCGCCACCTAGCTGCCCCATTTGGGGTTTTCTTGGCAAAGATGCTGGAGTGGTATGTCACTTCCTCCTCCAGCTCATTTTACAGATGAGGAACTGAGGCAAACAGGTTTAAATGACTTACTCAGGGCAACCCAGCTGGTAAATTTTCTCAGAGGCCAAATTTGAACTCAGGTCTTCCTGTCTCCAGGCCCAGCACTCTATCCACTGTACCACCTAACTGCCCTTTCCAATGAGTAGCACAAATTAATTTCTTTAAGTATTGGCTGATTTGATCTCCTTGCTGTCCAAGGCACTCTCAAAACTCTTCTCCACCACCACAGTTTGAATGTGTCAGTTCTGTGGTGCTCAGCTTTCTTTATAGCCCAACTCTCACAGCCATACATGACCACTAGAAAAGCCATACCTTTGACTTTATGGACCTTTGTCAGCAAAGCGATGTCTCTGCTTTTTAGTATGCTGTCTGGATTTGTCATAGCTTTCCTTCCAAGGAGAAAGTGTCTCTTAATTTCATGGCTACAGACACCATCAGCAGTGGTCTTTGAGCCCAAGAACATAAAATCTGACATTGCTTCCATTTCTTCTCCCTCTCTTTGCTAGGAAGTGATGGGATCATTTGCCATGATCTTAGTATTTTTTGTTTTTTTTTTAATGTTAAGATGCAAGCCAGGTTGTATGCTCTACTTTTTTTACCCTTATCAAGATATTTCTTAATTCTTCTTCACTTTTTTGCCATCAGTTGTATCATCTGCATATCTGAGATTGTTGATATTATTCCCGGCAACCTTAATTCCAGCTTTTGATTTATTCAGCTTGGCATTTCACATGATGTGCTCTGTGTATAAATTAAATAAGGTGAAAATATACAGCCTTGTCATATTCCTTTTCCAATCTTAAACCAATCAGTTCCATGTTTGGTTCTAACTGTTGCTTCTTAATCCCCATATAGTTTCCTCAGGAGTCAAGTAATATGATCTGGTATTCCCCACCTCTTTGAGGATATACCACATATTGTTTTGATCACATAGTCAAACGTTTTAGTGTAGTTGGGGAAGCAAAAGTGGATGTTTTTCTGGAACTCCCTTGCTTTTTCCATTGTCCAGCAACTATTGGCCTTTTTGTTTCTAGTTCCTCTTCCTCTTCAAAAACCTATCACAGAGAAAGGTGCCAGGACTCTAGGAGCAAGGATGCTTGGGGCTGTTTGTAGTAGGGGGAAGGTTTCAGCAACACAGCCCTCCTCCCCACTACAGATCCTCCAAGGGGGGGGCAAACTAAACTAGTATCCCCTTTCCCCACTGGAGCTGCCTTATGGGCGCCTGAAACCTTTTCCTCCTGACATGGAGGAAGGAGAGAATTTGTTTTTAATGTTTATTTTGGTCTTTATAAACAGAAGTAACAGCTAACAACAGCCAGTGGGGTGATGCTATTATCTCTGTTTTATGGAAGAGGAAACCGAGGCTCAGATGTGAAGTGATTTGCTTTAAACTACACAGCTAAAGAGTATCCAAAATAGGATTAAAACCCAGGTCTATATGATGCTAAGTCCAGCACTCTGTGAAGTCATGCATATCCTATAAAACTCTTTCTGTGAGTGAAAAAAAAAGCCAGTAACTTTTCTTGTTTTTGGAAAGCTAAAAGACTACAGCTAATCCCCATTGAAGAGAGCTGTGATTTTGTTGAAAGGGGTAATATGGCTCAGGTCTATTTACGTGCTCCAAGTCAGAAAGGATGAGCTCTTCCTTATAGTTATTGCTTTTTGAATTTTCATTTGGACAAGATCACCAAGAGTTAAGAAAACTTGAGGGGAGAAGAAAATAAGAGGGGGTCCCTTTAAATCCATGCTGTAAGACATTATTGGGTTTTGGCTTTGGTTCTCTTTCCCTTCTCCATGTCCTCAAGAAACCATTCTTATAGTTCTTGTGGCCTGGTGTTTTCTGTTTCTGTTTAAATACTAGAAAAACCCATATGTACTGAATATTTTCAAAACTCCCATCAACACTGCAAAAGGTTTGGGAAAAAAAGGGGGGGGGCAGCCAGGTGGTACAGTGGATAGAACACCGGCCCTGGAGTCGGGAAGACCAGAGTTCAAATTCAGTCTTGGACATTTGACACTTAATAGCTGTGTGACCTTGGGCAAGTCACTTAACCCTGATTGCCTGTCCAAAAAAAAGAAAAGAGTTTGGGGGTATAGGTTAACCTTAAATTGAAAAACCAGCAAGCAGTTTCCTATATATATATGCATACACACACACACACACACACACACACAACGTGTATATATGTCATATGTATACATATGTGTATGTATATAAAATACATATGTTTACATACATATATAATAAAGACTCTGCCATATAAGTTTTGAAAAATAATAAAACATACTACATTAAAACTTTTAAAAATCAGCATATAAGTTTTGTGATATAATTAAAAATAGTTGGTGGCCTGCATAATACTAGGTTCTTTATTCTTTGATTTCAATAAAGGATGAACATTTTATTCACTTTGAACACAGTTATAATCTAAATATTTAGCCTTCCCAAGCTCAGCCACATTTTTCTGATATTTTTACTGTTTTTTAAAAAACATTTTAGCAGCTAGAGAAAATTTGCTTTTTAAGAACACCGTATTTTATTAACATTAAGGGGTAACTAAAAGTATTGCCTAAAAAAATTACCATTACCAAACATGAGCTAGTTTTAATAATTCTAAATTGAACTGTGTAAGAGTGTTTGGAGACAGGGAAGGTAGAAAACATATTAAAGGATAGCCTGCAGTCTAATTATGCTTATTTTTTCCATTAAAATAGTAAAGACTGTTAAGGGTTAGAAAATTTCTACAAAACTTGTGGTAAATTTGCATAATCATAAAGACATTATTGCTATCTAAATTTCAGTTTCTTGATATTAGGTCCCATGTTGACGCACTAAAGTTGTAAAACACACAATGGTATTAAAAACACCTTGTGTCATGTTAAACAGGATTCACAGGGCAGGGTATTGTAGGCCATTTAAAAACTCTCAAAGAAGGGAGAAAAAGAACAAAGTAAAAAGTACACAGAAGAGAACAAAAGAAAACTTGCAAGGAAGCAAAGAAAAGATGGACAGCTCTGAACACAAAGAGTAGTGTTTGTTGTATAAGCTTTCTTGAAATGGGAAGTTGTTACTGTATATTTATACACATGGCAATGCTTTCTTTTTTCTTTTCTAATTTTGCATTTCAGTTTTAGTATTTAAGGTTATAATATGTTTCTTTTTCTTTTCTGATTGTGTATTTAAATTTTAGTATTTTAATTTAAAATAAATTTTAAAAAAGAAAAAAAAACTTCTGTTATATAATTTGTGCATTCTACATGACAAAACAGCACTTTAACATGGCTTCTTGCTATTTAATATATTTCTATTCACCTTTTTCATCCATGATTCAGATCTTTTTCAGTTAATAGGAAAACTAATTTTAATCTTAGTCTAAAGTCCCAGGTCACTGAAATTTAGTGGCAACTGACAGTACATATAGGTCTTTAGCTGAATAGAAATGCCTTAGTGTTGAGTTACAACAATAATAATTGGTTCAAATAGCTACCAAAAAGCTCCTGCTGAATTTGTCTTTAGAAGCTGATTTATGGGTTTCATATTATTTTGTGACACTTGCCGTAGGCACCAAAAATGTGATGCTCTGCCTAATTCAAGTCTAAGACATATTGACAAATAAGGTCATTTTTCTATTTATTTTTATATTATTATGCACTTACTAGTACTAAGAGTCAAGAGTTGTCTCTGTTTTGACTACAATAGCAGAAAAAATACTGGTATCAATTTATGTTCAAAAAGCAGAAATGGGGTTTAGGTAAATTGTTGTCTTATTTATCTTTTGAAGCCCAAGAATTTTACAAATGAATCTTCAGGAGATTCTGTATTCTGTATTTTCCAGGCAGCTAAACCAAAATTTTGAAACAGACCAGAAATGTATAGGGAATATTCTTTAAAAAAAATGTTTTAATAATAGCAAGCCAGATTTGAGAGTTTTTTCCTCCTTAGTGTACACAAACTCAGCACTTCTGTGGCAAACTTTAAAAAATAAATAAAGAAAAGAAATGAGCAGCCGTTAAAAAGAAAAGTGTTATACATACCACTACATCTGTAGCATCCTTCATGTGAAGATCTTGATAAATCCTCCAGTTAAGCCACAAGACATTCCAGTGTTTTAGGTAAGGGATATGCAGGGATTACTGTGCCCACTGCTACAACATGCATGTGCCATCTCTTGAGTGGCATGTTGCAGCTGATTTTGCAGTGCCCATTGTGTCCCTGCTTGTGCCAGAGAGCCAAAGAGAAGACATTACCTAACTGAACTAGCAGAGGAGATTTAAAGGGATGAGTACAATTACCTGAGGTGGGATTTGGCCAGGTCTGTGTCAGTAGCCCTAAAACAGTTCTGTCTTTCATGACTCCTGCTTTATCCTAGATATAGAAAAATTCTTATCTTTCTATGTAAGGATAGCTTAAAATTTATTTTGGCATAAGAATATAGACTAAATGTAGCGTCAATGAGGAAAGCAAAACATAACATGGACAAAGGGTGTTGAAATAGAGCCATTTGTTAATTTAAACAGCAAATCCTCATGAGATGTAGAGTGCATTTGAACTCTAGTTGATTGAAAAGTTTAATACTGAGAGTTTGGCCTACGTTTCAGGTGGGCTAACTGTGCTCTGCTACAGAGCAATAACTTTGTTTTTTTGGCCTTTCATTGTATCCCCAGTACTTAGCATGGTACCCCAAACATTTGTTGTCCAGTTGTGTCTGATTTTTAGTGACCCCGTTTGAGGTTTTCTTGGAGTGGTTTATCATTTCCATCTCCAGCCACTTGGCAGATGAGGAAACTGAGGCAAACAGTGTTAAGTTACTTGCTCAGGGTCATATAGCTAGTAAGAGTCTGAGGCCAGATTTGAATTTGGAAAGATGAGTCTTCCTCACTTCAGGCCCGGTGCTCTGTCCACTACACCACCTAGCTGCCCCTACCCAAAATATAGGAGGTGCTTCTAAGATGCTTGTTGACTGATAGACTCTTAGATTTTGTGGCAACCTGTCACTGAAAATTGCTGAGCCTTGAAGTGAAGGGTATATGCTATAAACAAGGCCAATGATGAGTTATGTTTTACTTTCTTGACTTGTGTGTAGTCCATAGATTGTATATTGTATAAATGACGGGATAGGGATACGGACTGTGTCCATGATTTTATCTGTATACGGAGCTCTTGTGACCAATGCAGGTTACAGCCTTCTCTGTAACTGGTCAGCCTTAAAATATCAAAACGTTTAGTGCCTTTTTTGGGGTCAGACAGCCAGTGTGTCTCAGAGGCAGGACCTGTACAGAGATCCTCCTCACTCCAATACTAGCTCTGTGACACCTCTCTGATGAAAAGAAAGGATGATAAAGTTAGATTCCTGGCTTCTTCCTATTCCTATAAACAAATAATGGAGGTAAGGTACTGCAAAGGACTAAAGTGAAGCATGACCACTCACCCTCTCTGGAGATATGAGGAAAGAGAGACCCTTCATCACATAGGAGGCAAATCTTTATTTAACCATTCATTGTAGAGTAGCCAGGGCCTGGAATGGAACCTGTTTCATGTCACAGACTTGCATCAATCTAACTTGTCTATTCTTGGATGATAACATTCCATATGTGTGGTGTTCCTGGAAATGTGGACATTCCTTTATGCCACTGATAATTTTTGTGGCTATGGTTGCTGATGGGAGATGTGTGTACATGGAAAAACAATGCATACACACATAATTTAAGAGAGGATGATGGTCATGTCTTAATAGATTCCTTTCCTTTACTGTAGGGCTTTCTCCTGTTTTATTTGCTTGGGGAAGCATGGAGTGAGCATCTTTACTACCATGGATTTTATATTATGAACTAGGTGAAACTTGTGGTTGGTGATGGGAGGTGGAGTGAGAGGGAGGGAGGAAGATTAAAGAAGGGTATGATGTAATATAATAGAAAGAGCATTCCTTGCAGTCCTCTGGGACCTGACAGGCAATCTAGGCTCTCTTGTGTGACCTTGAGAAAGTCACATCCTTCTTTTGGACCTCAGTACCTTCATATTCTAAACGAAAGAGAATCTCTAAGATCCTTTCCAGCTAAAAATTTCTGTGATGAGTTGTTTCTTCCATTTGCATAAAATTAGGTGGACAATGGAAGAAGTTTTCTACTCATTGCCTTAAATGAAGGATGTATTGCAAGCCTCCTGAAATAATGCTGTATTTCGTGATGAGCCAAGCATGCCATTTCTATGGCTTCCCATGAAATTTCATTAATTCACTTTGGTTCCCTTTGTAATGCGCATAGTGTAAAACCTTGAACTCTATGACAAGTGTTTGCTGTTGAAACAAAACTAATAATTCTACTGAATTTTCTCTAGTAAATTTATGACACGAGAAGAACAATTTAGGAATAGAAGATAATGTTTCACATTTTCCCTAAAATATATTTTTTCAATCATACTTCAATTAAATACTAGTTTTACTTATTTAAAAAAGGAGTTATTCGCACTACTGAGAGATGAAAATTTGGGATAGAACTCACACTCTTTTCATTGGGGATAAGAGAGTTTTCCTGGTTAGAAATGCACTTCCAAGTTCAGTAGGTTCCAAATTAAAATTCCAGTTTTTCTGAAAGTTGACTCCTTTCAAATTTATTTATGTGGCATCTTATAACAATCATAAAAATTCCGCCCTAACTTGAAATCATTAATAGGTCTTCAAGAAATTTGAGCTTTAAGAATATTAGCCTGTCAGCTAAAACAAAATACGGCACTCAGCCACATAAAGTACTGATTATCTTTTGCGTGAATTCACTGAATACAACAAAGCATTTAAGAAAAAAAATTTGCCTTCAAACATTGTGCTAGATTCTTTTTTTCCTAATTTGTCCACTCTCCCCTTCTCACGTTTTCATGTTGATAAGTCAGCTGGAAACATGAGACAGAGGTCTTCCCACACATTCCTTCTCTCTTGTGGGTTTTTTCTATTGGTGTATTTAAAATACTTTCAAACCAGTGCTTGTGGCAAGGTGGCTGGGGGAAAGATATTCACAGGCTGTGTTTTATCCTCTGTTGATTTCACTTAGGGACAGTTGAAATTATTTTATTACAGGGCTATCTGAAAACTAAATGGGATAGGAGTTTGGGAAGTTAATCCTTGGATTTATTGAATCTACATATTTTTTCTTTTCACTTTAAAAATATCTTTTGATTCATCAATCATCTTTGCATGTCTTTAAATCTAAAATTTAATTATTTATGACTTAGTGAGCAGAGGATTAGTGACTCTCAATGTGACACCAGAAATTGACCAGGTGACCTTGACCAAGATGGTTAACTAATTGGTATTTGGTTGTTACTTTATAAATGCAGATCATAAATAGAAGTTGGATATCTTATTTTTATGCCAGCTGTTCCATGTAACCATAACAACCTCCCAGAGAGGGAGAATCCTGCAAACTGCTGCAGTGTTTCTAAACCTACTAGTAAACTCGCTGTTCTGAATGTGCCCTCTCCCTTTATGCCCGTTAATTTCATTCAATTATCTACTTTCTTTTGTTTTTAAATGCAACTTTAATTTTATTTTACTTTTAAAAATTAATTAGCGTGATTTTACTCTTTTTCCTATGCTGTTTCCCTCCATTAAAAAAAAAAACCTTTAACAAACATGCATAGTTAGGCAAAAGAAATTCCAACACTGGCCACATCCAAAAATGTATGTCTTGTGTTTGATTACTATTTTGAGCACAGTCCTTAAGTCTTCCGCAGTTGTTTATCTTTACAATGTTGTGACTGTCGAAGTTGTTTTTCTGGTTCTGTTTACTCACTTTGCAGCATTTTATGTAAGTTTTCCCAAGTTACTCTGAAATGGTCACTTTCATTGTTTCTTCGTGGCACAATAGTATTCCATTACACTCACATGCCCTGACTGGTTCCACCATTCCCCAGTTAATGTTACAGAGCCAGACGTGGGGAACCGGTGGCCTCAAGGCCACACTAAGTCCTCAAGTGCAACCCTTTGACTGAACTCAAATTCCCTTTAATAAGAGGTTTTGTCCTGCAAAACATGGACTCTGGCAAAAGGCCACACCCAAGAATCTACTTAGTTTATAGACTTAGTTTTCCCTTTTTTTCCACTTGGAAAAGATCTTATAGTGAGACTGAATGCTCTGTTTTTGTTTTTTTTAATTTTATTTTCAATTCTAATTATGGCCACAAAGAAATATGTTTAACTTCAGCAACAAAATAAAATGAAAAATTGGTGGAAAACACCAAAAATCGTTATTCTTTATTGGGGATAATAGAAAAAGCTATATCCATTGTTCTTCATTTCCTCTCCTCCCACTTACTTCTCAGCCCTTTGAAATTTCACTTCCAAGCTCACTACTAAACTGAAACATCTCTTTGCAGGATTAACAACAATCTCTTAATTGCTAAATCTGATAATAATTTCTCAGAACTTGAAATGTCTGCAAATGTTGATACTGTTGACAACTTCCCCCTCCTCTTGGATACTCTCTTTTCCTTTGGTTGTCATGACACTGACCGCTCCTTGTTCTCTTCCCATCTGTCTTTCTTTTGTCCTTCTTAGTTGCTGAATGACCTGCCCTTGATGTGTGGGTGTCCCCTTGAGATCTGGCCACACCCTCTTCCTCCCTCTGTACCTGTGTTTGGTTATGTCATTGCTCCTATGGGTTTGTTTTACCTTTCCTGTACTACCAAATACCTGTTGGATCTCTTGAAATGGACATTTCATTTTTTTTCTTTTTTTTTTTAAGGCAATTGGAGTTAAGTGCCTTGCCCAGGGTCACATAGCTAGTAAGTGTCAAGTGTTTGGTCTGAGCCAGATATGAACTCAGGTTCTCCTGACTCTATCCACTGCACCACCTAGCTGCCCTCGAAATAGACATTTCATAGGCCTTTCAATTCAGTGCCCAACATAGTTTTCAACACAGTGCCCAAACTCATTGTTTTTTCTTTGCATTTAAACCAACCTCTGTTCTTCCTAATATCCCTAGTTCTGTTACTATACCTGTCATCCAGGTCCATAACCTTCTGTTGAGTTGTCTCAGTTGTATCCAACTCTTCCTGTCACCATATGGGGTTTTCTTGGCAAAGATACAATGGTAAAGGTTTGCCATTTTCTTCTCAAGTTCATTTTACAGATGAGGGAACTGAGGCAAACAGGGTTAGGTGACTTGCCCAGGGTCACACAGCTAAGACGTGTCTAAGGCCAGATTTGAACTCAGGTCTTCTGATTCCAGGCCCAGTACTCTATCCACTGTGCCACCCAGCAGCCCATAACCTTAGTCATTCTCTATTATTATCATTACTGGATGGCACCTA